ACACACACACACACACACACACGAGCTAGGGCGTGTGTAAAAGACGGACAAAACTCTGCTCCACCCTAAACACGCACGCACGCACAAAACAACACGATTCCCGTCGACATTAAAACTTCCGTTGGCGGTCTCGTCCTCCCAGAAGAATCATTTCCAGGTCAAACCTGCTGGTGGCTTGCTGAGACACCCAAGCTTGAAGACGCCATCCTTTGTGCACGTGACCAAAAAAATCACGTGTCTTCTGTCCTTCGATTTGACTAGAGCCTTTGTGTTAATCCCAACTTGTTAAACAGTAGGAGCTAATGCTTTGCTTTCCGTTTAGAGCTAAAAATAACACATCAAACAGAGAATGGCTTTGTTATCGAGACTGGCAATGTTTTTTTCAAGAGTCTTATTCTTACATCAATCCATTACTTCTAAGGTTTTCTTTGAAACACTTGCTTGAAACAGTATACACACAAGTACTCTGGTTTTTAAAGAAAAAAGTAAGTAAAGACCCCGCCCCCGTCCCAATGTACAATTTGCTTGACCCAGTGCGCAACACCAGGGGTAACTGTAAAAAAAAAAAAGAAAAAAAAAGGAGAGGAGGGGATAGGGTCACAGTTATGTCTTACAGGGGTACAGGAGTGAGGAAGCTGCAGGCTTTCACCGTTCTGACGCACGAAGATAAACTATACTTACCTTTTAACCTTGTTCGGCTAAACAGATCAGCAAGATTGGGTCTAGTCATGCAGACTTTTCTAACATAACTTTGAGTTCGAGTAGGTTCTGACCCAACACAAAATTTCAGTTTCAGTAAAAACATGATAAGGGAGCTTGAAAGAACAGTAAGAAACCTGAGCGTGAATATCAACAATACAACTCTCAAAATAAGCCCATTAAATACCTGTTCGCCGAAGACGAAAACAAGACACAGGAGATGTAGTTTTGGTGCTTTATCCAGCTCAACACCCCTATCAACACAATCGAAGACAGAGAAGAGACCAGAATATTATAGACGGCCAACAATGTAGGAGACAAGTCTGTACCTCTAAAGAAGCACTGCATGAACTCTTCATAAACGGACGCTACGTCTACCTTTAGTTTAACGCAGCCATATTTCTCACTAATTGTTAAAGCACTTCTTTGTTACTACCCTCCAAAAAACAATTTTGCACAAAGTGAACACCAAACTGGGTAGAAACAATTAAATCCTTGCAAAACAGAAGCTCATTATAGACAAGGGGGAATAGGTGAAGTTGTGTAGATTTTTGTTATGATTATAAACAACAGAGCGATTCCGTGCGTCAGCTGAAGTGGCTCGCCGTCTCCTAAGAGTCAATATTAATACCCCTATGGAGATAAATCTAGAATAAATTATCAT